TTTTTTTTTTTTTTTTTTTTAGTGGCGGAAACGGGCTTCCATATTTATTCCCTAAACAATTTCTGTACATTTTTCATACAGCTGATTAGTCCTCAAACTGTTTCCCCACAATGCTTGCTGTAGTATGCTGCTCCTGTAAAGCACTTTTGTAATGTGGCTTTGACAAGGACTATATATATTTTGACCAAGTACACGCCAAACTCTTTATTGTAACTTTTAGTCAGTTCCTGTTCTCTTTGAAGCTATTTTTGTTTATTTTGCACTTCCTTTTAGGCTGTCTAATCTTGTTGTGGTTTCTTTTTTAGTTATAATTTAATTTTAGTCGTTTGTGTTAATTTTGCATCTTCTTTAGCTTCTTTTTGCAGATACAGATATTTTTGTTTTGCTTCATTACATCAAATGTAACTATTTTGATTCCTTCAATTACCATTTAAATGCTGCACTGCCACTGGCAAATGTCACCTAGATTATACTTGTAGCAAAGAAGCGTGGATCGGGCACAGTAACGTTTAGAAAGTGTTTTTTGAAGGTTAGCATGAAACAAAGGTCGCAAATTATTATTATTATTTTTTTCAAAAGTAAAAAGTATTCAAAAGAAAATGCATTGGTGGACATTTTCTTTAAGGTACAGTATTGTATGTTATCAAGTTTATTCTCTAATTTAAGCTACCCACGGTGTTGAGGTGCTAACTTGAAATGTGAAGATAAGCTCACGCAGAAAGGAGGCACAGACTTACAGAGCTTCTCTTTTCGGAGCCATCCTCAAGCTATTTTTAAGCAAAAACGTCTCTAAATTTAAATTTCAGTGATAGGTTGCGAGTGTTTCTCCCAGTGCAGTAAAAAACAAAAACAAAAGAAGTTTATCTGTGCTTTTAAAATCAAGCAAACGTCTAGCAAAGAAAACTGACCGCACAGCTTGACGCTAGACGTGTTGTTTCTATGGCAACAGAACGCCGACCTCTCCCCAGCTCGGTCAGCTTTAAAAAGCTTTAAAAAGGAAACAAAATGTGAATTTACCGATGGATGTGGTATCCTCTTGTTATCGGTGAGTAACACTAAGCGAGCAGCCTTCCGTATTGTTAATGTTGCTGGCGTGTCGTGCTCTTGGTCTTGGCTGGGAGGACCGAGGAGCCCTATAACCTACAAATGTAAACATGAATGAAGTCGAGGAGAAGACGAAAACCCTGTTAAGACTTTTAGCCAATCACAAGTCGGGGTGTGAGAGTTCTCGTCTCTGATTGGTTGTTTGTTTCACCGATGAGGAAAACTGCATCAACAGGTGCACCACGTATCCCATGCGTGAAATACTGGGAATCTTTGTTTTGCTCTCTTTTGTTGTTGTTTTTATTGCAGCACTCAGAGAAAAGTTTTCAGTCACAATACATAATAGAAGATTTTCGGTATATTCCTAATCGTTTTAGGTATTCAAAGCAAATTGTTTTTTAAAAAGAGATGTGCAAAAAAGGATTTTGAAGGAGATGTTATTTTGTAAAAGACAGACATTTCAGTGTGGCAAAAGCTAAAAAGAAAACCCACTGAAATCTTAAAAAAAGTATGACAAGAGTTAGTAAAAATGTTGGGAGTCTTGCAGGTTTTAAAGTCATAACTACAGAAAAAGAGCCTGGCTCCCTCTTGTGTTTCCATCTCTAGTTGTAAGCAAAGTGTTAAAATTGGACTACATTTCCCAAGATGCAGCCATCATTAGAATGCCTTCACAGATAATCTGAAACAAGAGGTCCAAGCCTTTGTGCATACTGACTATAAGTTATATGTCTTACTGTTTCGGTAGTTTTGTATTTTGAATTTTATTGCATTCTGCCCGTAGTTTTTATTCATCTTAACTTGCAACCTTATAAAAGAATAACTTATTTATATTTA